GTTTCATTTCTTACGTTTAACTTTTTAATCCATTGTGCATTGATTTTTGTATATGGTGGGAGATAGGGGTCTACTTGCAATCTTCTACATGTGGACATCTAGTTGTCCCAGCACCATTTACTGAAGAGGCTCTTAGTACCTTTGTCAAAGAGCAGTTAGCTGTAAGTACATTGGTTTATTTCTGGGGTTTCTATTCTTTTTGATTGGTCCAAGTATCTGTTTTAATGCCAGTACCATGCTGTTTTGGATATCATAGCTTTGTAGTATATTTTGAAGTCAAGGAGTGTAATCTTTTCCACTTTTCTCTTTTTGCACAGGATTACTTTGGCTAGTCAGGGTCTTTTGTTGTTGCATCTGAAAGTTAGGATTGCTTTTTTCTGTTTCTGTGTATGTCATTGGTATTTTAATAGTAATTGCTTTGAATCTATAGATTGCTTTGGGTAGTATGGAAATTTTCACAATGTTAATTTTACCAATCCATAGTATGGAATGTCTTTCCATTTTTTTGTGTCCTCTTTCTTTCATCAGTGTTTTGTAGTTTTCATTGTAGAGATATTTCACCTCTTTGGTTAGATTTATTTCTAGGTATTTTATTTTCTTGGTGACTATTGTGAATGGGACTGCTATCTTGATTTCTTTTTCTGCTAATTTGTAGTTGGTATATAGAAACTCTACTGACGTTTGTATATTGATTTTATATCCTGCAATTTCACTGAATTTGTTTATCAACTCTAAGAGTTTTTTGGTGGAGTTTTTAGGTTTTTCTATATATAGGATCATGTCATCTGCAAACAGGGACAATTTGACTTCCTCCTTTCCAATTTGGATACTTTTTATTCTTTTCTTTTGTCTAATTGCTCTGGCTAGAACTTGCAGTACTATGTTAAATAGGTGTGTTGAAAGTGGGCATCCTTGTCTTCCTGTTCTTAGAGGAAAAGCTTTCACTTTTTTCCTATTCAGGATGATGTTAGCTGTGGGTTTGTTTTATCGTGTTGAGATACTTTTCTTCCATACCTCATTTGTTGAGTTTTTATCGTTAAAGGATGTTGAATTTTATCAAATGCTTTTTCTGTGTCTATTGAGATGATCATATAATTTTTATCTTTCATTTTTTGTTGATGTGATCCTATTATCTTTCAATTGTATTTTTCCATGAACTTTTTTGATGTACCCCTCTTATTTGTTATTTGTGTGTAACTCATTATTTTAGTAATTCTCTTCAGTCCTACTAATAAAACCATCCTTTAGATGTCTGCACACATCCCTGCCTCTCATGGTGAAGCCTTTATTTTCAGGAACAGAAAGAATATTCTGGTGCTCTTGTCTTCTCCCATCTCAATGCCTTCTTATTTCTTACTTTTGTTCTATGTTTTCTATAGTTTGGTCTTAAATTATTATCGGTAAATTTAATTGATAATTTCAAATCAATACATTTGAATCTATTTTTTCTTTAACACTCTTAATATATAATTTATGCATATGCACACATCTGCTATGTTATGATCCCCAAGTTTATCCTCTTTAAAATGATTTATTCCAGCCAGCTCAAATGTGTGGTTTTTACTTGGACTGTAAAATGAATTTGGGAACCAATAAATCTAAACATTTAATTATTCCTTTAGTAGGACAGCTTTTTCTAAACTACAGCAATTTGATATATTGAAGATATTCAACTGTGAGATGCACATATTGAAGCTAAATGTGTACTTCAGAGATGTTACTTTCTCTAATCCTGGAAATCATAATTAATGGCTTATTTATCTTTGCACATTCACTATATCTATGAAACATTCCAGGAAAATTATGTTTAGGGCTTATCATGCTAGAATGGTGTTATTTAAAATTGAACTTAATGGCTATTAGAGAAAGCGAAGTACTATGGAACTTTGTGAATGCCCGTGTCTTGCTCTTCTCACAACAGACATCCTCCAGGGGGACAGGCAGGGAACCATTTTGCCCTTTATGTGAAGACAGAAAGTTATCTCCTTCCATTTTCTTAAGTAAACATGTAGCTACTCCCAGATCTGAAATCTTTTAGCCTAAAGAGTGTGCACCTGGTTCAGTGCATTATTGTGGATAAAAAAAAAAGACCTCTTTAGATTGTCTAAAAAAGTTCAGAAAATTCTGATACTGGGGGAAAAAAGACAAGAACCAGAACAAGAAAGACCTTTTACTTTTGATTGGAGACATTGTTTCCTTTCCTAAGATTCATGGAACACACTGAAGCCTATTTGAATCTGTATCATGTGGTTTGTCCCCCTCTAGCCTGACATGATGCCATTCCACAGTATGATGATATGAGCAAGGTGATTATACAGGGACCCACATAAGCTGATCTCTCTGCTCTGCAGATGACACAAATAGAAAGCTTTGAACGAGAGTGGAAAGGCACACTGTCACTTCTCTGTCTCCTCTGGAAAAGCTGGGACACATTCTGTTTAGCCGATTTGTCCCCAAAGGAATGTGACTTAACCTCCACTTTTCACACAGTGAAAAGCAATACCATAGACCTGTCGGGAAGGTAATGGCAGACTGGAAGGAATTTGGATACGTGTTTTTCACTCCAGTGTTTTCATGTGACTTGATTCTCATTCTCAATTTGGTACATCTTGATCTCAAAAATGCAGCCACGATTTGCTTCTTTTCATTTGGCTTTCCTAGGCTCATGATGTGGACTGTCCCTCTTTTCCCTCCGCCTACCCCAGGTAACTTCTTCTGTTTCTCTTGCAACCTACTCATAGATCCTTCCCCCTCATAGATGTCTACGCATGTATTTACCTTCTGTTTCCCTTGATAAGTACATTATTTCCAGAGAGAGAAAACACAGTTGAGTTCCTGAGATATAAGCAAAGATACCCACCCCAAAGCAGCCTAGGTGGTTCCCCACTCCCTTGGCCGGATCTGACTATACATTTATCTGACAGCTTCTTTAAGACCGCTCCGGTAGTAAAGGTATTTATATCCCCCACTTCTCCCTGGCTTTTCTTCCCTCCCTCCTCTATTATACGACTGATTGTTGTGCATGAGAAAATAGACAAGCCTTGGGTGACCTGTTTTTTTTTTTTTTTCTTCTTTTTTTCCTTTTTAAAAAAACCCTCCCTCCCTCTCTTTTTTTCCCTTGCGGTGAAATAGTGCTGATGAAAGAGGGCGCTAGTGTACAGCCCAGATCGCATCCTTGCACCGTCTGGATTGGAGCTGAGGGGTCTGCGAACCGAGCGCGCGGCCGCGATCCTCTGGCTCGAGGACCACAGCGCTGTCTACTCCGACTCAGGTACGTCTCAAGTCCCCCATATCCTGCAAACAGACTCAGGTGAGCGGACGCTTCCCCGCGGCGAGCCCCAACCACAAGGGCCAAAGTCCCAGTCTACCGGGTTCCCACCCCCTGGTTCCAGGAGCATCCTCGCTTATTCTTTTCTTCTCGTCCTGCCTTCCTGGGAAGCGTCGGGACCCATGTGTGCCTGGGTTGTCTTCGTCTTTTGCCTGCCTCTCCTGTCCTCTCACCCCCCACCCGCTCCCGCAGCCCCTTTCTCATTCGACTCTCACCTTGAGGAAGGGAGCCGGGAAGGGACGGGAGAGGGAGCCAACTTCCAGCCCAGGGCGGCTGAGATCTGCCCCCGAAGCGGTGGGGTTTGAATATGTACCTGCAGGAGCGCGGCGAGGCGAGGACAAGGAGCGTGGAGGGATGGTGGGGATGCCAGGGGAGGAGTGTGTGTGTGTGTGTGTGCGTGTGTGTGTGTGCGTGCGTGTGTGTGTGCGTGTGTGTGTCTGGGCGAAGAACACGGAGGGGGCAGTTGAAAGAGCGAAGGCGGGCGGGGGTGTCGAGGACCTGCAATTCACTGGTCAAAGCGTCCCTTACAGGCCCTGCGGGGGGACGTCTCCAGGGCTGGACCGAGCACTGTCCAGGGTTCTGACGGCGGCAGTGCTCAGGCTGCCGAGGCGAGAGCAACACCGGAGCTCCCCTCCGTTCGTTCCCTTTCCAGCAACTGGGCAAAGCCAAAAGGTCCCGATTTAGGCGAGTGCAGCAGCTCCTACCCCCTCCCCGCATCGCGGGAGACAAGTTACCTGACCTGCACCTTGAACGTCTACAGTAATCCTGGCTTCTTAGGGGGAAAACCTACCAAACTCCGACCTACGGAGACTTTACCAGGCGTTGCCTTAGTAACTCATACGGATTTTCACCAAGCGGGAACAGTTACATTTACTACTTGGATTGTATGTCAGGGTCTCTTCCTCTCCTCGCAGTGGAAAAAAAAAAAAGGTGCGCCCCTGGTTAACATTCATTTTAAAGTAACATTTCCATCTTTACAATGAGTTTCCAAATTTTCTTCTGGGAAAAAGTTGATCTTTTCAAATCCGGGAAGTTCTCTTAGGGTGAAAGACCTACCCCTCCCCTCCTCTCTCCTCCTACCCACTCCGTCCCCCAGGTCAGAAAGCACCGTAGGCATGTGGGGACCAGGAAGGTACTTGAAGCTGGAGGAGGGGGCGAGTGGGCAGGGCTCTGCGCCGCCCGGGACCCGCGAGGGCACCAGGGCAGGACACAGAACTTTTCTCATTGACCAGAGCTGCCTCCAGAGCCGTCTGTCCAGCCGATGTCGCGATGTGCCAAAATGAAATGGACCGGACAACTGTTCACCTCACTGATCCCAGGTCCTGTAATGACTGGGCTTTGATTTTCTCCTTCTTTTGTCAGCAGAGTCCAGCTCATTGCTGCCAACACAACGCCCATTGGACCCTTGATCAGTTCACCTCGATGCCCCGCTGAAGAACGGAAACTCGAATTCCCCTGAAACGCCCCCACGGCGTGGAGGACCAGGCGGCGGAGGCGGAGGGGAGGAAGACGGTGGCGGGGACTGCGGCGAAGGCGGGGGAGTGACAGCGCCGGCGGGGGGCGCCAAGCCGGGAGAGGCGGCGTCGGGCGTCTCCGTGGCGGGAGCAGCGAGCCTGCAGGCGGGACCCGCGCGGAGGGCGGCTGGCCTGCCGTGGACGGCGACCTCACCACCATGGCCCGGCTCCTGTTGGTTTTCTTCCCAGCGATCTTTCTGGAGATGTCTCTTCTCCCCAGGAGCCCCGGCAGGAAAGTGCTGCTGGCGGGAGCCTCATCTCAGCGCTCCGTGGCAAGAATGGACGGAGATGTCATCATTGGGGCCCTGTTCTCGGTGCACCACCAGCCTCCGGCCGAGAAGGTGCCCGAGAGAAAGTGTGGGGAGATCAGGGAGCAGTACGGCATCCAGAGGGTGGAGGCCATGTTCCACACGTTGGATAAGATCAACGCAGACCCGGTGCTCCTGCCCAATATCACCCTGGGCAGCGAAATCCGGGACTCCTGCTGGCACTCTTCGGTGGCTCTGGAACAGAGCATCGAGTTCATCAGGGACTCCTTAATTTCCATTCGAGATGAGAAGGATGTGCTCAACCGGTGCCTGCCTGACGGCCAGTACCTCCCCCCAGGCAGGACTAAGAAGCCCATTGCGGGCGTGATCGGCCCGGGCTCCAGCTCCGTAGCCATTCAAGTGCAGAACCTGCTCCAGCTCTTCGACATCCCCCAGATCGCTTACTCTGCCACGAGCATCGACCTGAGTGATAAAACTTTGTACAAATACTTCCTGAGGGTTGTCCCTTCTGACACTTTGCAGGCAAGGGCGATGCTTGACATAGTCAAGCGTTACAATTGGACCTATGTCTCTGCAGTCCACACAGAAGGTAGGCATTACTTTGGGGAAAGAAAGGTACTGAGAAAACCAGAGCATTGCATGATGTGCTCCTGGAATTCCTGTTTATTTCTAGTACTGTGAGGAACAGACTTTACCCTTCTCAGTACACGCCCACCCAGGCATTGACTTTTATCCTTGTTCCCTTAGAATTGTAGTGTAGAAAAACTCTATCCCATGGTATTTCTGGGATAGTAGGAGCTGAAAAGATATCAAACTCTCCATGCAAAGTGCTCAGCTGTAGTTTTTAAGACTTACATGACTGTTTGCCCTCATATTTGCAGTTTGTGTTTGGAAGGCTAATTTGCCCAAGGTGTTATATTACCCTTCAGTGACTGGCTATGAGTTTCCAAGCTTAATGAGCTAATCCAGTGTGAGTGATTAGCAAAAAGAAATCACTGTCCCATTAATTGGACTTGAAAGCTTCATCTTGTCTTGAACAACTGAAGATGTTTTTTGTCCTCTTGTGTTCCTTCCTACACATTCAAAACTTGCCTGTGAGTGGAGGATTAATGCAGTCATTTCCCTCAGTATATCAGAAACTTATTTTTAATTCTGGGGTAACTTAAATACAAAGAAAAAGTATATCATTTAAACCATTTGTTTTTCTCCTTACTTTATATGTTAAAGTTGTCCAGATTCCCTCACTCCCGCAAGAATTATTCTGTTTTATGAGAAATAGCACTGACGACCTATTGGATTTGAGTTTTGGCCTCAAGTCTTTTTCTTCTAATACACTGATTTTGCTTATTAGAATTTAAGGTCAGATCAATTATAAATTTCTAATGAAAGGATAGCAGATGTCAAGTTTAAAATGGCATTTTAAAATTAAATAGATTTACCTGAGATTAAAAGCTTGGATTTTTCCAGAGACTTATATATGTAAATTCTCAAAAAAAAAAATTCTTATATAAAGATTTTCTTTATTTCCTCACCTTATTCTATATAGATTTTTGGATAAAACAAGGTTTTTGAGCTCATCTACTCTTAAGTCCTCTAGTAGGTTTATAAAGAAACTGAGGCCTTGATTATAAATTAATGCCTAGGATGATTCACATGTATATGATGGTATATAGAAGAAAATCATGAGGGTGTTGATGCATTCATATTTCTTAAAATCAAGGTTAAAAGAAAGGCCATCGGCATGGCTTTGTGTTCTTTTAATATTTACACAATATTTGGTTACTTGTGTAAGGTCTGATTATAGAAATTAAGAAACATTCTTACTGAAGTGGTTATATGGTTAATGTTAATGAAACAGATGCTTTAATTTATAAAGGGAACAGAGTTTTCAGAACAAACAAAAATAATGTGGACTAGTACATTTTGATTTCAGAATATGCTTTTGGAAAAAAACTTTTTGCTGCAATACTGTGACTTCCAAAAACTGATTCATGTTTCCAAATCTTAATTTTTAATTATGAGCTATATACCTCTTTTTGAACAGAAACGTATTACTTTTTATAAGACTCAAATTTAAGCTCAGATGTTAATTCCTTACATTTTAATGTTTAGTTCTAAATTCCTGCATTTTAATACTTAACACTATTTTTTCTAGTGTTTACATGAAACATTTTGAAAGCACAAGTTAAAAACGTGTTGAATAGCAGCCCTAGATAGATCTCTCAAAAGGGAATGGCAAAATTTGGATTGAATGAGATTTACTTAAATATTGAATAATCCTCTCTCCACTGAATTGGATAATTGATTATTGATATTAGAAGTGTAGGTTTTTCTTTCAGGAAGAAGTAATGCTTCATCATTTTAATGTAGTAGTTTTATTATCCATATTTTATTACAAGATTATTTTATTTGGGGGAAGAAGGAGAGTAGAAGAAAGACTCCCACCACCCTTTCATCTGTTTACCAATTGTAACACTTTGCTAAACACAATTGCTAATAGTCGGTTGCTTTCTGACAACTAGGATTATGTTTTTGGAAAATTGGACTTATATTTGCTAATTTTGTTGAAGAAGGACTCATAGCAATACTTTCACCCATGTATTAATTTAGATTATTTTGTTTCCTTTCTGCCATCTGACTGGTGCTGTATGGCAGAGACAATGTCCCCATACTATTAAAGTAATTGACTAGATTGTGTTCATAGAATCACTTCGTAGCCAACTTTTGTATTTATTTTGTTACCAAGAGATTACACCATTCACCTTGCCATTTATATATATCTTGTTTTTTTCTGAAAGATATTTAATTTCTTCTCTTATTAGACATAGCATTTGTGAAAACTGTTTCTTTTACTTTTTTCTATCTGCAAAGGAATTTTGTGTAAGCCCCTTTGTGTAAACTCCAGCTAATAATTCATTTTTCCTGAGGCTCTGTCCTCCTGCCTCTCAGAGACCCATGGTTTACTGGCCTACAGGCACTTTCTTGGATCAGTTAGTAATTTTCTTGCCTTCAGAATGATGGGGTCACCTACTGGTGACAGTTCCCTGTCAAATAGCAGCTAAGACCACATATTTGTGCTGTCTCTGCCATCTGGGCACTTATTCAGCAAGAAAGCCAGTTTGTCTGGAGATTGGCAATTTGGAGTTTAGAAATTCCAGGACCTCCAGTGACCTTTCCCTCTCCTTTTCAAATCAGCCATTCCCTAGTCATTTTATCATCACCATTTCTTTTATTAGAAGTTAATCTAGTATAATTATTATCAAAAACACTAAGTGACTAGACTAGTGTACCTTCATTTCTACAGTTAATTTTGATAACTTAAAATCATAGATTTTAAACATCTTTTTAAAATAAATATTTTCAGAGAATAAATGCCCCAATGGTTCTTATATTTTTTTATTATTTTATTTTATATTAAAGTTAAGCTTGGAGGAATTTTTTTTTAACCAGGTAGAATTCATTGTTATATTCTTTTACATTCTTTTCAATCTTGTATCACATCATTTGTGCCACACTTGTCCTCTGGTCATGATAACTGTCATTTTACTTGATATATAAAAAAAAGAATCAGTGCACATAAAGTTATCTGCAATAGAGTCTCCAAAATTTTTTAATGATTGGTTCCTGAGAGGAATGTTGAGATGGATCTGGGCGGTGGCAGTATTGAAGCAATAGATAGAGCCTTATCCACAAATAACATTCAAATGAACTTAGGAGCAAGCTGCTCACCTGTAATGTATGTCTTTAAATATGCTAAGCATAGAGCACAAAAATAGCCTATTTCTGAGAAGAGTATCTTGGCCAAGGACACTGTATTGCATTCTTCTGATACAATGCAAATTCCCCATCAAAACCAAGTTTATTATTTCAAAAGGGTTGTAGAAAGCAATACTTAAAAATAATTCCAATTGATTATTTTAAAGCATTGAATGAATTTAATAAAGACTATTCTTTGAGTTTAAAAGTTTTTTGTTTTTTTTTGTTTGTATTTTAAAGCATTGAATGAATTTAATAAAGACTATTCTTTGAGTTTAAAAGTTTTTTGTTTGTTTTTTTTTTGTTTTGGATTGGATAAATTTTTGTTTAAACCTTTACCTCTTAGTATTTTGTCTCAGATAAGTACTGATATGATAAGAGGTTTAGTGATGTTGCTTTCTTCATGAAAATATTCACTTTAGGTGGCCTTTTGTTTATGGTTTGGCTTTCATTGTGGTGAAAATACTTTTTTTGACATTTGCTTATATTTTATGTGAAATTGGCCTTCTTTGGCTTCTTTTCAAAATCTGATGTTTTCCTTTTAGAAACTTTTTATTGATATAAAACAATTTAAAAGACTAATGACTGGCAACAGAGGAAAGTCCTCCAAAGTCAGAAATGCATAAGTTAACCATTACTTTAGCTAATGCAATTACATATGATAATTTTATACCTATCAAATGTATTTTCTACATATATGATCCTGTCTGTGCACCAATAACTTCTCTGTACCTTTCTCATTTTTTGTGTTTTTGAAGCTGGTGAGTATGGGGAACTGAACCCTTGACTTTGGCATTGTGATGCTGTAAGGCTGTGCTCTAACCAACTGAGCTAACCAGCCAACCCTTTCCTGTCTTGATTACAATCTATTTCACATGAAGTTACCTCAATATATAACTCTATTTTAGCATATAATAAGGAATGGGAGTGTCTTGAAAGGTTATTTAGGCCAACCAATTAAGGATGCTTAGAACAGCACAATTACATCCTTGCTCATACTCTACATCTTTAAATTATGATTAGCATTTCTAATGAGAGTGGCATAATATAGGCATTAAATTCAGAAGCAGAATTTCACCTATCTCTTAGTTCTTCTATAAAATAACTTAAACCTGACTCTGAAGTTTCCACCAATTCTCCAATGACAACTGGAAGTCATCCAAAATAATTCAGTCTTCTTCCATGTGATATTTGTCATCAATGAATCCTCCCTTTTTTATACCATACCTCACCATACATTCTGGTTTCAGTTCCTTACCATCATAGCTGGCTCCAGTATGTCTTAGATCAATTAATACCACAAAGTGTTTCAAAAAATATGTGCTGCTATTAGGTCATATCTCCTTCTTTTTATGATTGGATAGTTATTAATGTTGTTATAATTATTGCTATTATATACAAGAGTAAGACTTTGATTTTTTAAAAAATGTAAAATATTATCTTAAATTTGCCTTTCTAACTTATCAGTAAGTTCTGGGATTTTGAGTATTTAATTGAATTATTTAATTAATT